GGAGTTTGTGGGCAGTTCTTCATACAAGAAAACCAACTTTGTCTCTGCAATATCAGGGTCAGCTGAACTTGGAATTCGATCCTTGGGCTGCCAAGACAGTTTGAGGCTTCCAAAGCTCAGAGCTCAAATCTCCCTTCTGTGTTAATGAGGATTATATGTGTAGCTCTCCATTTCAACTTTGGAAGTGCCAACCCTTGCTTTTTTAGAGTTTGCATTACACTTACAGAAACTTCTTTCCAAACTAGATATTGACACTTAGTTACAACTCATCCTTCTTCTGTTTTTTCAATTTACTCTACACTACTTTCCCCATGTTTGAATTTCTTGGGAACAAGTCCAAACATTGCTATCAGATGCTTTCAGTCTTTGTCACACAAAATAAATCTGATTTTAAAACTTCAGTTGCTGCCTGCACAGAAAGCAGATTAGTTCTTGGGGGATTTTAAAAATTAAAGAACGTGGAAGTGGCCAAGATATTGTGATTTTGAAAAGTGCCTACACTTGAAATGAGTTCTTAGTCTCTCTAAAGGTTTCTTAGTAATCTTGTTTGTATACTCCCAAATTAGCTTGCAAGCAGGATAGGATACAGCATTTAAAAACAAAACATAGAAATCACCACCTATACCAGCTATTGTATTTCCTGCTCTGCTGTGAGAACAATTGTTTTCCTAATGTTGCTTGACATTTCCTTGAGGATTCTGCTTATTGGTGGATAATCAGTGGTATTGCAGGAGGTGGCAGAGTGCAGGAAACAGGTTCTGGCACCAAACCAGAGCCCCCCTGTCTGTGGGACATGTCCAGAGTGCTCAGTATGGCCGAGCAGACAGACAGACAGACAGACAGACAGACAGAGCGCTGTTGAAGCTCCTGGTGCAGACAGTGGGTCAGTTCTCTGTTACATTAAAGCCTTTGGCTTTATCGCAGCAATACAAAGGAAACAGAGGAGGCAGAAGTTGTGCCATAGGGCTGTTCCATCCACACACTTTTCTGGTTTAATTCTAAACAAAAAAGACAATAGAATCAAGACTTTGTTCTTTGCTCTTCATTTTTTGTTTGTTTTAACCATAAAAGCTGAATAGCACAGGGCACTTACAGGCCGAGTAGGGGAAGTGGCAGAGTTGGGAATTGCTTTTAGCATCGTGTGTAATATATTAATTGCTTATATATCAATATTTCTTAATCTGTGTAATACCCATGAGTTATGACTGCTTTCAGTGGAGATGAAATCAAAAGGTTTCCATTTCTGCCCAGAGCTGTAGCTGGGTGGGTACCAACTGCTTCCCAGTGCTGAGGATCTCTAATGGCTCTAATGGTACCAGCTATGAAACCATTAAATAATATCTACAATATGTTTCCATCTCCTTTTGCTCATCCTGAATTTGAAATTCCTGATGTTCTTATTGTGCTACAGAGAAGGGAGGTAAAATTTCAGTAGCCCTTTGTCATGACAAACAATACCTTTTACAATTTTGGGGGCAGATGCGTTCTCTGAGGTAATTAATCAAAATAAATTCATTCATATGCACCCTGCTTCCTTTAATGAAGCCATTAGCAAAGGGCAGGAGATGGAGGTTTCTAATTGCTGATAATGTCCCAGTAGCCAAATTTTCTGTCTTCTCTCCAGAAAGGTCTTGGGAAATTTGAAAAGGTTTTTGAACCTTTGCAGTAATGGCTTTGTACCACAGCCACTTAGAACTCAGATACATCAGTAATGACCTGTTGGAATGAGAGAAACGGAAGTGACAGATTGTTACTTAACAATTGGTCCAGCAGCTCTGCTCCACACAGTGCAGAAAGCAGGAATATCTGTGACATTTGCCTGTCAGATGTTTCCATTTTGAAGGTATAGATCATTTTCTTCATCCAGCGGAGAAGGATCATATTATTTGTGGTGGGTGAAGCAGGACAGGGTTATTTAGAACACAAGATATAGGGGTTATTGTGTGATCATTCCATTTTGAAGAAATGGAGGCTACTAAGATAAAGGGGTGAAGGGAACCACGAGAGATCATCTGCTCCTTCTCCTCCTCTACCTGACTGAAAGAACCTGTGTTATTTCTGAATGATGGATAACCTGTTCTTCAAAGATCTCTCAGGCTAGACTGCATTTTTGTCTGCCCTAGACAACCTATTCCATCAGTTCTCTATCATTATTGTTATAATAAAGATTGCCTTAATGTCACACAAATCTCCCTTGTTGCAGTTTAAGCCCATTACCTCAGGCCCTGTCCATGAACATGGAAAGCATTATATTCTTTCTCATTTTTTTAAGATTTTTATGCCTGCGGAGACAGTAAACATCTTTTCCCATAATCTTTTGTAGTCTAAGTAATCCCAATTCTTTCAGTAATTCCTTATTGATCTTATTTTCTCCTTGTTGATTTATTCTCCTTGTTCCTTTTTATTTTTTTTCACTTGAGAAAGTTTTTCTTGGCAGTATAATTCTCAAAAGCAGAGACAGTCCTTTAGCTGAGGCCGTGCTAGAGCTGTGTAGGAGCACCTCACCCTTCCAGGTGATCATCCTCTTTGTACAGTTCACTGCAGGAGGGTTCTTTGGTTGGTTTAGGTCTGGCTTTTAACCTCAGCAGTGTGCAAGTGCTGACTCACATTCAGTTTGTGACTTATTCTAGTCCCCAAATGCTTTTCTGAGAGCAGCTTCTCTGCCCATTATTTATAGGATTTGTTGTTCCCACAGAAAAGAAGCAGCTTGCATTCATCTTTAATGCTTCCTGGTTTTTTACACCCTGTGTCCAGTACTGGATTTAATCCTGTCCTTGGGTGTTGTCGTGGTGCTGTGGTTGGGCTGGGAGCTTCCCTGCAGCCATCCATGGCTGGTGGAGCAGCAAACAGGACTGGGTGTGACACTGTGACATACCCAGGGCAGCTGCTCTATTCCTGGGGACACCCAGGGCTGGGAAATCAGGAGCACAGGATGGGTCAGGGTGCCTCATGGTCTTGTCTGCTGGGCTTCCCACTTCCCTCCTCTTTTTCTTCATGTTTGATTTCATGTTGGGGCCCCTGATGGCTCAGTGCTGCAGGGATGAGCAAAGCTGAGCTGGAGGGAGTTGGAGCAACTCCCAGGCGGGTTGTTGTGAGTTAAACCTGGATGATGGTTTTACTCTGCTGCTTGTGGCACAAAAGTTTCACCTCATTGCATAATCAGGTCTTTATCTTCTTGGCAGTGGTGCAAGGCTTGTTTCTTCTTTGTTTTATGTGTATATGATTTTCTGATTTGTCCTGAACTTCATAAATTAACATTAAATGCAAACATGGGTAAATCCCCAAGCCACAGAGTATGTTTTATATCTGAAATTCCTTTATGGTATTTCTCTTCCTCTGAACCTGTCCCCTTAAATCACATTTCTGTATCAGTAATACATATCAGTTGCTAAAGAAAAGCTGGATCTGAGTACAATGATTTCAAAGCAGAGCTGAGATAGCCTGAAAATATTCCCTGTCGTTTCCACAAACTCTGTTGCTGCTCCTTTGCCCTGGAGTCCTTAGTTCGCCGTGTTTAACACTCAGAGACACAAAAAATAAGGCTTTAAGGAATTGAGACAAAAGATTAATTTTAAAGGACACACAATACTTGCAGTAGCCAAATGCACAATGGAAAATACATTGAACTTGCTTTTTGATGAACCCATGTGAGTTATTCAGTGCTTGTTGCTTTGGAAGTCTGCAGAGAGAAGAGTAGTTGGGTTTGTTACTGAGGTGACTTTTTCCACAAATGTTGAGATCTGCTCCTTTGCATCCTGTTTCTGGACTTGTCAAAATCCCAGTACATGGAAATAAATATTTTTGGAACCAAATTTTCAAGTTTGGATGACAGGAGTGAAGCTCCAAAAGACTCACCTTTCACTGCAGTGCTTTACTGAATGCTGAGTACCCGGCATAATTTGTAGGGGGATGGCTGGGGATGGTCTCTGCCTTTGAAAGTTGGGAGTTCCTGGAAATGGCCTTGGATTTTCCAATAATGTTATTTAAAAATCTAGCTCTGATTTAATGTGTTGGATAGCTTCATTTTTTTGTATGCAATAGGAATAATTTAGGGTTCTTACGCTTCTGGAACAGTCAACATTCCTTTTTTAGCATTTTCTTTTAAGTTTGATGGGATTTCTTATGAGAGCTGTAGGAGAACCTGAGAGATAACAAGTAGCGAGATGAAAAGAAAATCTGACCTAAATTTCAGACTCGCTAAACTTGAATTGAAAACAGTGTCAACAGTATCAGTGCCCCATTTTGCTGCTGTTGACATCAGTGGCTGCAGTCCTCATGACTTCTGTGCTGAGGAATTTGCTGAATGTTTTATTCACTTTATATTGGAAGTTGGAGAAAACTTTGAAGTTCTTCCTGCATGGGAGTCTTGGGAATATGGTGGTGCTGAAACAGTTCAGGAGTCAGAAGAGTTAGCTTAGTCGATGGTGCATTGAGAGGCTTTTATAGGCCTCAACCCCAGTTCAAACTCCAAATTTCCTCGTTATTTTTCCCTGCAGTTAATAGCATCACTAACTCCTTCTGGATTCCTTACATTGCTTCATTGGCCATATCAGAGGAAATTAAATAATCTTGAAACAGTTCCAGATACAAAGTTCACAGAGAGGCCCCGTCTTCGCAGTGGGCTTAGATTCAAAGAGCAGTATTTTTGCTTTTGAGGCTCTTGTATCCCGTCCCAGACATTGCCAGTCAAGTCCATGTTAGTAAAAGCTCTGAACTCGTGTTTTGGAAGGTGAATACTGGGAAAAGCCCCAAAGTAGAAGATACCTGTGATGTGCCTGCCCAGACTGAATTTATCTGCAGTCATGTTGATTGTTATTTAACAGTGTTCAACACTGACTGTGTTTATTTAGCAGATAAAATATAACTGGGGTTTTGCTACCTTTTACCAAGCTGCACCTATTTGAAGCTGAAATTAGATCCTGAGCCACTGAGAACTAACCTGAAATTAGATCCTGAGCCACTGAGAACTGACCTGACCAGCGCTGTTGTTTTGTGTACAGGACACAGAGATTCTGAACACAGCGATTCTCACGGGGAAAACAGTGGCAGTGCCCATCAAAGTGGTGTCCATTGAGGAGAACAGTGCTGTGACAGACATCTCCGAGTCAGTGGAGTGCAAATCCTCTGGAGAAGACGTCATTAAAGTAAGTTCCTGCCATGGATCTGCTCCTGAAGTTTCCTATCGTGTTATACACAAATGAGAAATAGCCTGGGAACAGCTGCTAAATCGGCCCCTGCAAATTAACTGTGCTGCTGCTTCAAAAGCATAAGGAGAGGGATTTTTAAGAAGAGTGAGGTGCAACAGTACAGCCAGCACACTGAGTTTCAGTAGAATTTCAGTGTTTAATTTCCATTCGTGCCCCAATTTTCAAATGTCTTGGTAATTTCACCTCGAGTCCTCTGTGCACGGGTTACATTCAGTGCACAAACAGCTCTGCTGTTCGTCCTGCCTGTCCAGATGTTTCCCATCACCTTTCCAGCTGTGATTATCACCTCCACAGCTGCCTCAGTGGAAGGGATTGGATGAGCCTTCCCCAGCAACCGCAGTGCAAACCCATCCTGGTTGACTTCCCGTTCTGCTGGGAGCTGTTCTGGATTAACAACGTGGTCCTGCACACCAGGGCTTGGGAAGCCCTCACATGGCTGGGCCATCAGCTCAGTGCATGTCACACAGTCCCAAACACCAGGGGGTTGGTTTCATCCAGAGGCAGCACAGCTATTCCTGCTGTAGTCCTGCAGGGAATTCCCAGTTGTGCAGGGAGTCAGTGCAAAGACAGCGCTCTGCCTGAATCCCGGGGCACTTTTCCAAGCAGGATTTCCATGGGGCATGGTTTTTGAGCAGGGGGGGGATTTTAGCCTTGGTCTACAAGTTCTTCAGAATAGTGGTTTTATTCCATGATGTGATTTTACAGCCCACAGTGTGGGCTTTGTGATGATGCACTTGAGGGGTCTTTAATAAGCTCCCAGCTCCCGTGGCTGTGCCGTGTACAAACACTGATGCCACAGCATGACCTGGTACAGTCAGGGCAGCCCTTGGGCTCAGGAAAAACAGCAGAATTCCAGTGAACTTGCAGGATCCAACAGCTGGCTGAACTACTGTAAAATTTATATAGAAGCCATGTAGGTGGGGAAAATAGTCATACTTAGAGCTAAGGAAGCCATTATAGAAGACTTTTACAGAAAGCTTTCTGCTTTCAGTGGATTTTTCAGAGCCAAACAAATGTCTCCATTTTGCTGGAGCTTGAGGTGCTCTCCTATATCAGATGCTTTGCAGAGATTTTAGTCTCTCAGAATTCCTGTTAACATTTTTCCTAAGGTAGTCATGTAACGACAAATCAAAGTGAAAACTGAAATTCAGTGTAGGGATCATCCTGATTGTGACCTTGATGGAAAGCAGATTCCTGAGTAAGAAAAAATGCAAGGATAGCATTCACAAATTAATAAAAAAACACAAAAAAGCCCAAAACCAAAAAAACTCCCACAAACAAAACAAATAAACAAACAAAATAAAAAAACCCTAAACAAACAAACAAAAAAACAAAACACAAAAACCCCCCCCCAAAAATAAAAAATCAAAACAAGCTTATTGTGCTTCCATCTTGCTTAAACAGCTAACAAAGTTTCACCACATAATTCCAGCCCCATGAGGATTTCTTCTTTTCCAACAGTGAAAATGAGCAGTGTTAAGTTCTTCCACTCAGAGGAAGACTCAGATTAGGGAAATATATATATATGTGTGATTTGTAATACATCCCCAGATGATGCATAGAAAATGACAGCGCTGTTGTTTTTCAAATAAAAATCCTTTTGGAAAAATGACTTTGGGGTTTTCAGCTTTGGAGCACATTGATCAAAGAAGAAATGAAATTCCCAAATCTTACAAAAAAAAAAAGAGCGTGTTCTTGCAGTTATTGCAGTACAGCCTTGGACTGTTGCAGTTCTCCAACAAAGTGTTTGGAAAGAGTGTTTTCCTGAAGCACTGTGTCCTTTGATTAGCACTCGGGACCCTGCTGTGCTCTTCTTTTCTACAGAAATTATTTATCTCCACTAAAAGGGTTTCTTAAAATGGAGCCTGTTTGCACGATTGGAGCATTTTTGAAGTGGCTTCCAGAAGCCTCCCTGTCTGGGCACTCTGGAGTTGGAGTGAAACAAATAACTGGAGGCTAACACAGGGCTTTTATTGGAATCGACTGGAGACATTTTTCAGGTGTAATTTCTTTCTCTTCAGAAATGTTTTGAAATTGCTCAGATGACTGGAGAAACTGTCTTCTGTGCTTTTAGAAATATATGCAGACTCTCCAGAGGAGCGTGGCTGTGACATGAGTGTTAACTGCTATAAAACATACAGCTAGTTAAAAAACAGAGCTCAATTAAATGCTTTGAACAAAAGGTTTTGTCCTCTCGTCAGAAAGGAAAAAAGGTGCTTTTTTTGCCCTTTTTTTTTTTTCAATCTAGAATGCTCCTGTTTCTTCCAGGAAATTTCTTTACACGAAGCAGTGGTTTGGGGTTCAAGGCAAGTTGACATGTTCAATTGGTTCAGTTTTTAAAAAGCACTCAGAAAGCTTCAAATGAGCACAGAGGCCTTTCATCCTTAATTCATTTTGAAATTCCCCATCAGGCTTTTATGTTAAATTCTTTAGAAAGATCATCTTCCTCTGCGAAATACCGGTGTAGAGACCTTGTTGGGAATAACCTTTCTGCTTAAAAATAAAATAAAATCCAGTCCTCATAAATTATATCTGTTGGGCTAAGCCCATGGTATCTTCACAAGCACTGGGTGCATGTGTTTACAGTTCATGTTCCCGAGCTTCCATGTCAGAGCAGACCCAAAACATATTTACAGGCATGAAAGCCTGTAGTTTAATTTAAACCACAAACTCATTAAAAAAATAAAAATAAAAATAAAAGGAGTTATTGATGAGAGCTATTGAGATCTATTTCATAGTTAGACATATTATCATGATCAGATATTTTTGTTTGCTTTTAATTGTGTGGAATTTCTGGTAACTTTGGATTCAGGCAAACCTAAGAGAGTTAAACTAGAAGATGATCAGTGCTTATTAACACTTGGCCTTTAATATTTGCATAGTTCATGTAGAGAGCTTAAAGGTAATGTTTGTGCCCAGCAATTTGCCATCAGATAAAAGCTTATTTATATTAATTTTTAAAGTATCTTCAGCTGGGCTGCAATTACTTTGTTCTCAGGAACAGAACCCAGTGGAAATCTAAATCTAAGATCTGTCTACAAACAGGTAATAGTTTCCCCAGTGATAATCATGGTCTGGAGGCAGCTCAGTGCAGTTTGTGTCCTGTCTGAATGTGCTGACTACTACTCCTTTTACTTTTTTTTATTGTCTCATAGTTTCAAGTCCTTACTTCCAAATTTACTGCTGATTTCATGAACTTTAAATGCCTTTGAATGCTCCAGGCCCTCGCACAGTGGTCCAACCTTTTAAAAGTGGACACGAAATTTATTACGGCACTAAAAACGAAGCAACAGCCAAATTTTACTTCACTGGGCTGGAATTTACCAATAGAATCCATATATCTGGATCCATTAATAGTGATTGCAGTTGCATGCACGGGCTTCTTTTCATCTTCTGGAAATTCAAGCGGAACGTGGCTGGTTTTGCCAGTGCTTTTGTGCCGTTTGCTCTGGATCTCAAACACTGCTCCGTGTTCCCAGGTCACCTGGCTGCAAAGAGCAGAGGTGGTTTCATGCTGTGGAGAGCACCACAGTTTCAGGAGACTTGCAATCCTTCTGACATCTCCAGTTTCTGAACTTAAGTTTGGGTTTTGCCGTTAAAACAACCTGAATTCTAAAATCCTCAGTGCTCCATGTGTTTCAGAAGCTGCTGTGAACGTTTTGAGTTTGTATTTCATCATTCTTGAACGAGTTTTTACCCTGTTGCCCCATGAGGGGATGTTGTGCATCATTTTGTGTTCTTAATTGTAGTGCTGGTATTTATAATTGGTAAATTGAGAGTTGGATACCTGTCTCAGTGTAGTAGCCTTGAACTGTACTCTGAAGACCTTATTTATTAGTTCTGTTTATTTTGAAATGGCATTATTAGGTTTGAGGTGTATTCAGGTCAAAACATGGATTCAGGTTATATTAGTCCACATCTGCAACTGTTGAGGATGTCACTGGAAACAGAAACATGGATTTACCTTCAAGATTTCCCTCAATAGTTAATGAACAGTGAGCTCTTGGTTCCATTGGGAATCATGACTGGAAGATGACATTAACAGCAGGTAAAGGCCACTGCAAAAATGTTAGGAATTTCTGTTGGGAGCTAAAATCCAGGACAGAGTGTCACAGCTGTTCCTCTCTTAGTGCTGTTACTTGAAACAAAATCCCAGATCAAAGCACCAGTGAACTGCTGGGGGCTGAAAATCTGGCTGGAGGGTGTTATGGTTGAACTCTGGCTTAATAGCTGGAAAAGCCTGGAACTGCTGCTGGTATCAACACTTTCAGAGCAATAGTGAGGGCAGTAATAGACACCTGTCAAGGTTACAGATCTTGTTTGAAACCCCAATCCAGACATAATTTACACACATGAATAACTTTACTATGAATATTGCTGACATCAGGGAACAGACTTGTATGAAATAGTCATTTAGGATTCATAAATGCTTTGGATATTTTGGCATTTGTAGTGCAGAGTTTATGAAATGAAATTAATTATCACTAAATAGACACGGACTCATGTTGAAATGTCTGCTGTCCATTTGTGAATCCACTCAGATTAAAGGTCAGCCTGGATGCTGTGCAGTGCATGATGCAGGAATGTCTCAGTTGGCCAGTAAGGAAGCTGACAGATGGACATATTTGTAAGAGATAAATAGTTGTGACTAATTGCAGTAATTTATTTTTCAAATTGTATATCTGGAACTATATCACAATAACCTGTTTACTAAGGAAAAGTCATCAGCACTTTATTATTTAGATAATACTTTGCTATTGTCTTAATATACGCAGTCTTACACAAATAACTATGCTTCAACCTCTTCAGCTGTTTATTTAACCACAAAGGAATTTCACTGCTCTTCCTTGCTTTCCAGCAAAGGAGGGCCTAAATATCTGCTGTGTTGCTCTCCACAGGGCTAAATCGAGATTTGGGTCCTTTTGTTATTGAAATTA